AACTTAATGATACTAATATAACTGAATGTATGACCAAGTCTACTCACCACTCATTGCGCGCGTCTTGAGGCGATTGGTGGGTTGATATCATCAAGATATCAACTAATGAACAGACTCTTTGGTCGACCCTTCAATATCACCACTTTGGTGATATTGTTCAAAGAATATTCAAATTATTTTTCTTATTATCATTGTTTCTTTAATGACAATTTCCATGTAACGGGCAGCCCGTTACATGTAGAGCAGGAGCGATTACCCGACGCATTAGGAAGTTTAGCCATTTTGGTGGCAAGCCGGCTCGCGCAACGCGTTCACATACATTAAACATATAACGAAGTGATGTCGCGCATGTTTCAACCTCCTAGACGATGACATCGAGAGCCGCACTATTCGCTTTTGTTGTGGCAGATACGCTACGTCTAGCTGTCGACACCCCGCCTTGTTTGGCGCAAGCTTTCGCCGCACCCATTGTACTGCTAGGTTTTTGCACTCATTCTACATTACGAGGTGAAATAACATGCACACTATAGGCATTTTGTTTGTATAAATTAAATGAGCGTGACATTCATGATCGTACCAGACTTCCCAATTTGGGCTCTTCGAGCAACAACGGACCGAGACGAAGACCTCCTAAGAGCCAGCCATCTGGCCCCCCTTACCTTGGACGGGAAGTACCCCCTTAGTAGGGCCAATGTTACAAAAAATGGGGCGGGCTTTTTTCTGCGCTGATCGTGCTATGGAACGCACCGCAGCGTGCGACCCGAGAGGGAAGCAATCCCCCGGTATCCCGCGGTGTGGGGCATATCGACGGAGTGTCAAACCCCTGCACCCAGAGGCGCTAGCAAGTTCCTGCTATTTTCCGTCCGCCTTCTTCAGTCGCCGACCCGTACGCCTAGCGCGGGCACGCTGCACTCGCAGTCGCGGGTGTGGGCGTAGGAGACCGACGGGTCGCGCCAAGCGGCCCTAGCAGGGGTGTTTTTGCGGACTGGAGGCGTACCCCGCGCCACGTGTCGCCGCTGCGGCGACGCGCACACTCCACGTCAAGGGGCCGCGCAAGCGGCTGAAGGGAGGCCACCATCGCAGATGGTTGAGCTCCTCGGAGAGATATACGGCGGGTTGGCGTTCTCCACGCCACGCAGTCACTTCGGTGATCGCACTCCACGTCGGGGGCCGCGCAAGCGGCTGAAGGGGGCCACCATCGCAGATGGTTGAGCTCCCTCGGAGAGATATACGGCGGGTTGGCGTTCTCCACGCCACGCAGTCACTTCGGTGATCGCACTCCACGTCGGGGGCCGCGCAAGCGGCTGAAGGGAGCCACCATCGCAGATGGTTGAGCTCCTCGGAGAGATATACGGCGGGTTGGCGTTCTCCACGCCACGCAGTCACTTCGGTGATCGCACTCCACGTCGGGGGCCGCGCAAGCGGCTGAAGGGAGCCACCATCGCAGATGGTTGAGCTCCTCGGAGAGATATACGGCGGGTTGGCGTTCTCCACGCCACGCAGTCACTTCGGTGATCGCACTCCACGTCGGGGGCCGCGCAAGCGGCTGAAGGGAGCCACCATCGCAGATGGTTGAGCTCCTCGGAGAGATATATGGCGGGTTGGCGTTCTCCACGCCACGCAGTCACTTCGGTGATCGCACTCCACGTCGGGGGCCGCGCAAGCGGCTGAAGGGGGCCACCATCGCAGATGGTTGAGCTCCTCGGAGAGATATACGGCGGGTTGGCGTTCTCCACGCCACGCAGTCACTTCGGTGATCGCACTCCACGTCGGGGGCCGCGCAAGCGGCTGAAGGGAGCCACCATCGCAGATGGTTGAGCTCCTCGGAGAGATATACGGCGGGTTGGCGTTCTCCACGCCACGCAGTCACTTCGGTGATCGCACTCCACGTCGGGGGCCGCGCAAGCGGCTGAAGGGAGCCACCATCGCAGATGGTTGAGCTCCTCGGAGAGATATACGGCGGGTTGGCGTTCTCCACGCCACGCAGTCACTTCGGTGATCGCACTCCACGTCGGGGGCCGCGCAAGCGGCTGGAAGGGAGCCACCATCGCAGATGGTTGAGCTCCTCGGAGAGATATACGGCGGGTTGGCGTTCTCCACGCCACGCAGTCACTTCGGTGATCGCACTCCACGTCGGGGGCCGCGCAAGCGGCTGAAGGGGGCCACCATCGCAGATGGTTGAGCTCCTCGGAGAGATATATGGCGGGTTGGCGTTCTCCACGCCACGCAGTCACTTCGGTGATCGCACTCCACGTCGGGGGCCGCGCAAGCGGCTGGAAGGGGGCCACCATCGCGGATGGTTGAGCTCCTCGGAGAGATATACGGCGGGTTGGCGTTCTCCACGCCACGCAGTCACTTCGGTGATCGCACTCCACGTCGGGGGCCGCGCAAGCGGCTGAAGGGGGCCACCATCGCAGATGGTTGAGCTCCTCGGAGAGATATACGGCGGGTTGGCGTTCTCCACGCCACGCAGTCACTTCGGTGATCGCACTCCACGTCGGGGGCCGCGCAAGCGGCTGAAGGGAGCCACCATCGCAGATGGTTGAGCTCCTCGGAGAGATATATGGCGGGTTGGCGTTCTCCACGCCACGCAGTCACTTCGGTGTTCGCACTCCACGTCGGGGGCCGCGCAAGCGGTCCTAAAGGGGTTTGTTGCCTTATATGGCAGCATACCCGCGTTGTACGTGCTGCCGCTCCGGCGGTACGCATGTCCCCAGTCTACTTGGTCGCGCCAGCGGTCGCGATTGACTCGTAGTTGGCTTCGGTAGGAGGGTCTCTGACCTCGTTGCCGTCGCCCCTGGCTCTACGGAGCCCTTTAGTTGTCGACCCGATACCCGGGCCGTACTTCTTGTCACACTTATCAGTCGTTAGTTATCATAATAATGGACGTACTTGACACCACCACCACTCGTACCAGACTTCCCAATTTGGGCTCTTCGAGCAACAACGGACCGAGACGAAGACCTCCTAAGAGCCAGCCATCTGGCCCCCTTACCTTGGACGGGAAGTACCCCCTTAGTAGGGCCAATGTTACAAAAAATGGGGCGGGCTTTTCTGCGCTGATCGTGCTATGGAACGCACCGCAGCGTGCGACCCGAGAGGGAAGCAATCCCCCGGTATCCCGCGGTGTGGGGCATATCGACGGAGTGTCAAACCCCTGCACCCAAGGCGCTAGCAAGTTCCTGCTATTTTCCGTCCGCCTTCTTCAGTCGCCGACCCGTACGCCTAGCGCGGATCCCGGTCCCACGAAGAGAACTCGCCTAGAACGTGATTTTGATCGGAACCGTCCAAGGTGCACCAGCGGCCTATCGGGAGTGATCGGTTTGGCACCCGGCGTTTTCTGCAATTTTCGCGCCCTGTCTGCCCCCAGGACTGGATACCCGTTTCCACGTGCCCTATGCAGAGTGCTTCCTGTGCAGCCCGATGTCTCGAGCAAGCAGAATGATAAAGCGAGGAGAAGAACGACAGATTATGGTAGAAGATTAAGGATAGATCCATACAGACATTTTAGCGCAGTCAAAACGACCCAATAGGCAGTCCGATCCTCTTCATCCATGATCGTACGATGCTTGGCATGTGTACCATTCCCCGCAGATGTGTTCCACTGATCGTTCTTCCGCTTAAGGTCTTACTGGATCCCTGTGAATGTTATAAACATCTAGCGGATAGGGGAATCCAACTTGTGATCAACAGGTGGCACAATAGCCAATCGTGCAGAACATTAACGAGAAACAATCAAGTTCGGTCAACATCCGTTTGCAGAATCACACGCGACCACGCCTTTGCTGTGCGCAAGTATTCTTCCTCTGCACATGCAGTCCGGTTTCGCAGTACGCTTCAACTCTATATCCAGCGAAACTTGCTTTTTCTGGAAGTCCCAGTGTTCCAAGCATCTGCCCGCGTTCTGATCGGAAGTCCACCGACTATCCTGCTGGCTTTCTTGCCGTAATCAGAGCGGGATGGTCACTTGACGTAATAAAAGGAGCACACTGAATTTTTGGCGTAATTGTTGACTCCGCCCTGATTAAATTAGCCCCTTACGTATGCGAAAGCGTGCCGTTCGTCCATTCTATCGGAGAACACCGTATTAGCTTCTTGCGTTTAGCTCGAAATTTTGATCAGGTAGCCATAAACCAGTGACATGCCCGCATGAAAGCGAACATATTAATCCCGATACAAGCCATTTAATTGGACAAAGGCGTTTTCCCGATTTAAGCCCTTTAATCGGATGAAGCCGGACGCGCCTATACTCATTCGACAATCCTGTGTACGCCCAGAGTTAGGCCGGACCAGGTCTCCTTCGAAACGCAGAATCTGACGAGAACGCTCCAAGTCCATACAAATAGCGGCCGAAGCCATCGCGGCGACTGTTTCTCATTCTGCAATTTGCCTGGCAGGGCGCAAGACCCATCATGCGCTTCCTCACTTACGTGCTCACAGTTCTGGTGGTATTTGGTTTAGACACTGCTATATCAACAATCGCAGGCGACGAAAAGGCTAGCGGAGCTGCCGGCAGCACGCCCTCTGCCATTTATCGCACAAACGTGACCCTGCCCGTCGCGTCAAGGACTGGGATGCCTCACGACGATGCCGCAGTCGAGACAGACTATGAAGGCCAGCATGATGGGGAGGAGAGATTGGAGGCGGCGCAAGCTGTCGAAGCTGTCGAAGCCGTCGGTCGCGTCGAAGCTTTCTCCGGATTGAACCAGGACATAAACCATCTCGCCGCAGAATTCTGGTCCCATCATGGAGCGGATGATGCCATCACCAGTATCGCCTCCCACATTTCAGAGAGCGAGACCATTGCCGCACAGAAGATCGTGGACGAGGCGGCCGATAAAAGGGTAAGCGACCAATTCGAGAATATGCAGAACGAGGGGGGTAACAGGGACTACGAGAGCATGGCTGCGTCTCTTTTACGCACGGACTTTAATGAACTAGAACGTGAAGCCGAGGTTAAAGGTCTGGTCAAGGCAGTGCTCAATCACCGTAAAGATCCCGACATGACCACCCACGCCGATTCCATACACAGGGAGCTGGTCTACAGGTTTGAAGATTCATATGAGTCTGCACTGCACGATGTTTGGCTCGAAGCGGGGATGACGCCGAAAGAGCTTGCTGAGATGATGTGGGTTGATCATGGTGCTTTCTTGTTGAAAAACAGACCAACACCATTACATTTTTCGGTTCCCTTTTATAGGTGCTTGCGTCCGGTGTTAACGTATGGTCCGATATACCATAAGTCGTTTCCCGATGGAGAGGCCGTCGACACGCTGAATGCTTACATTGGTAATATGCTTAACAGTTTCATTCAAGCGCACCCCGAGGTTGCGAACGGCCATGGACACCGCCTAGGGTAACGGCTTGAGCGTGGTATGAGCCAAGTGTGATTGTCTGACGACCGCCGCACGCAGCGTGCGCCAAGCGCTCTTTTAGCACGTGCGAGCAAAGATAGTGAGGGTGGTATATACACAGTGATCTCTTTCGTTGCGTCGTAGAAGTAACGTCGAATATACCATGGATTCCCTTCTTCACGACAGACGCAGTGTCTATGTCTGTCTTTCCTAGCATCATACTTGACTTTTTAAACAATAAAAATAAACTTGATCTATTAACTTGTTATGACCCAGTGTGTTACGCGCTAGGCGCGCAAGTAGAATGACAACGCTCGCGATTGAATAATCGAACAAAAAGAGGCAACAATTTAGAAGTGGTAGCTACATAGTCGCTCATTTATTGAGCTAAAAGTGTGTCAGTAACTTGATGCCCAAGCCGTAGAGCAGATGAATAGGGGTAGCCCCATCCTGTCTTAAAAACTAATTTATATATTACGGGAAAAACTTCCAAGATAAATAGTATCTATATAAAATCTTGAGCGAATAATATTTAAATGTATTACTCTCGAATGGTGTAGTTTTCTTCTGAATTTGAAAAACTTTACAGCACATCGATATAAGGCATTTGTAGCACCCTAAAACAAGTCAGAAAATGGCATGGTCTCGCGTGAAATTATACGAGAAAGTATAATGATACCTGAATATATTAAATCGTAAAAATGAAGAAAAAATACATTAGCTAATAGCAGAGGGAAATCCCCCTCTAGATATCTATTTCATCCTCTGACCACAACATGTATAAGTAAACAACACATGTTAATTGTAAAATCATGCATAGCAGACGTACATGTACGACCAATTAACACGCTGCAAAATGTGTAACTGTATAAGCATGATGAATGCATTCATCCATAAATGTATGTAACTCCCTTTAAGAATTATATCATTTGTGATCTTAACCCATAGCCAAAAGTTCAGCAATCAAGGCAAAAAGGAACTAGTCTTCCATACACGTCATATTGTAATCGGGCACACTTCTTGCCGTTTAAATGGTAGGCTAGGGTAATATGGTTGTACAAGAAAGCGTTTTACAAAATTGCGGGCACACCAAACGTGCTAAGGATGTAGATTAATTATGTAGAGGCTGCTCATAAGAATTGTTCTTTTACATAATCGCGTTCATTAAGCCTCTTTGTATTACTTAAGCTCAATCCAAATTTGGTTTATGGTGGGATTTTTTTACTTACCACCTAATGCGCGCATCAATAGCAATTTAGTATAATATGGCTTTTAGTTTGGCCTATATCACCAATTGCAAATCTGTGGCGTATACCTTTAAGGCTATTCTTTATTCATATCGGCTATGAATAGTAATTTTGTTTAACAATATACATAGGGAATTGCTAAATTCACACCCCTTTTCCTTAGATTCACACCCTTCCGTCAAAACTTATATATACAAGGTCGAGACCGAGACGGGTACTGACTCAATTGAGCTTGCCGAAGCCGCTGCAATTGGCGAGACAACTATCTTTGCCAATGCGTCTGACGTTGCTAGAGAGGCTGAGGCTGTGACGCTTACCGCGCAAACGGAAGCCGTTGCCGATTCTATGACGGTTGTAGAGAAGGAGAAGACGAACGTTGGCGCTACATTGGAGGGCGCTGTCGAGGTACAGGAGGCCAACGTCGAGCAAGTGGATACCGATGACAAACCCGCATCTACATTAATCACGGAGACGAAGAGCAGCTAAGCTTTGAGTGGAGGAAACGGCTATATTTCCACACGAACGTACCGTCTCCAGCTAAGTATAAACGCCGCTGACCATCACACGCAGGACCAAAGTGTACACTTTTCTCACTATGAAGTTTCAGCCGCGTTCTTGTAGGGGAATACCACTGCCACCACAACGTAGATACGGAAGTACGAACTGTCGTTCATGTATACAGTAGATCAATACCATCGTGCCCGATACGCATTTTGATACGAGGCGAAGTACTATATGTTGTTGCCATCTCGAACTTTGCTTTTTATCTGCACGGTTAGCTTTGTGCCCTTGTCTCTGTATAATCGATCGACATTGGGTACTTCGTGACTTGGAACATAACCTCGTCAAGCGTAAACGTCACGATACAAAGATTCATTCGAGGACAGTTGATCACAACTGCATTCCTCACTGCCTCTCTGTTGTCCGTACTACCCGTATATTCCTCATGAGACGTTCATTTCGGCGGAACAAGTACAGCAAGTGACCGTGGCTATGAGGAGATAAGCGCGTATGAGCTGCTCGGTAAGGTGTGTCAGCGAGTTGTTTGCTGCATTCTTTGCTGCTACAAAGATAAGGCTCACGAGGTCTTCAGACCGTCAAGTTGAGATTGCAAGGCGCTCCTTCATGCAGAACACCGCCTCCGGTCCGAGAACTTATCTACATGGATAAACAAGTGCTGTATCACGTGCAGAAAACTGATCTTGAGGTCGAGTCATTATCTCTCAGTAAGTAGATGACGTCGAACATACATACACACGAACTGACACTGTCGCTTACTTGTTCACATGCTGCAAATTGACAACTCATTAGCTGACATGCAGGTACCAGTTCCTTCTCGAGGTGGTCAGCATGCACTTGACCGGATCGTCAGTCGCTGCATGCGTTTGTTGCACTCGTATCCAAAACATCTGAGCTGAAATGTCGTCATACAAAGTCTCTCTTTCTCTCTTTCTCTCTCTCTCTCTCTCTCTCTCTCTCTCTCTCTCTCTCTCTCTCTTTCTCTATTTCTCTCTCTCTCAATGACTACACCACGTAGCTGCCAACATACGCAGTGCATGTGCTGTGCTATGTGTATTTTAGACACTACACAGTAATTGATCTGTTCGAGAGTCGCTGCTACCTGCAGACAAAGCGATCGCATTCGATGGCCATTTACGTCCATCTTCACCTGTGTGACCTGACCTCGAACGGTTCAGTCGCTGCAGTGCTGTCGCAATCGAATCAGTTGAAGTTGCAGTGAGCTTTGTAGTGTGTTATTAGAATGCAGTGGACGTCGCTCGGTCCGTTACAGCGCAAATCGTGTGCGACCACTTTGGCATTGAACCTGTCGCGCACATTTTGCGTGTTCCCACTTCGATTGCTACGCACTGTCACAAGTGCTGCTGTGCGTTCTCGTTTCTTCTTCTGATATAGTTGCACAACTCGTTTCGTCTCGTGTCATACAGAAATTGGATCACTGCGCGCATGGACAGAGGCCATCTATACACGTGCAAATAAAACTCGCAAAGCTCAGATCGACTTCCAGACCAGTGCATTTGTTATTTCAGACGGCACGGTGGCGTCGAATGCTTGTCGTAAGCTTTATTTGCTCGTCTAGTTTGGCATTTTGCGCGCGCATGACCGATATTTGCGCCTCGAGCCACGCGCCCTATCGTTGCCGGAACGTGTTAATCGATACTGATATTTGTGAATAGATACATGCGTAAGTAGTAATGTATGTATTTCTTACGAATTAGTTGCTAATTAATGGCCTAGATTATGAGGTATTACCTTTGTCAGAAATCAAATCTTAAAAAACGAATAGATACTTTATATTTAAGATTTGAAGGAAGGGTGTGAATCTAGGGAAAAGGGATGTGAATTTAGGAATTATCTTTAATATTGCGATATCATTTGCGTTTGTATATTTTGTGCCAATGCCGTTAAACATGCTTACCCTGTTACGTCACCCCTCTTTTATGTGTCAGTAACATAAGTGACTGTTCGAAGTCTATCAACGACATGTAAATCCCCGTTTTATCACTATTGGAAAATATTAAGGCGATGTTTTATCAAATCATGTCTACTTTAACGGTTATAATCATTATGTCCATGCGGTGTGCGGTAAGGCTGCTGCGAACGTGGCTGCGCAAATGCGTGCTGCATAGCGAGCAAACATTTGCTTAGCAACAGGTGTATATTATACTTGCTGCATCTACTAGGCAGCCTTCGATGGAATTAGTTAAAGGCGAACACTGAGTAGGCATCCTAGGTTGTATTACAATTCTGAGAAAAGATATACTAATCGGGCGATTCGGGTTACATTTGAATCAGATTTTTTAGTTTATCTATAAAATGAAACGCGTAATATGCGTTTTCACGCCAAGTCATATCTGGACAGTAAGGTCATGGAGGACTTGCGTCACGAGAAGTCGGGATCGTCTGATTATCCCGATACGTCATCGCTTTAAGTGTGGCGATCGCTCTTGTATGATCCCTGGAATTTCGCTGTATGATGGTTGTATCCATCGGATCGCTGCCATGTATTTCGCTCTATCACATTGAAATTAAGCCAATTCATGTGATTATGACATCTTTAATTCAGTACTTCGATTTAAATTTAAACAAGGAGCGTGCCCGAAACATCAGGCGGTTGTACAATAATGGAAAGCCATGGGGTTTTACAAATCCATGTTTAGAAAAGTGGTATCGAATGACCACAAAGAGGAACACGTTATTTTTGTTAAGTTTTCAATTATTAATTGCATAGACTTCAGTGCAAAAATGAGGCGCTTTTTCTAACGTATTACATTGATGGTGTTCTTACGCATTTATGATAAGCTGCGACCGTTGTTATGATTCTAAAACGTTCATACAGGCATACAGGCCATTTTGTCTTCACAACTATGTTATTTCGTTCGTTGTGACGCACGGCTAGGTTAATTCGTTTTTATATGCTAAATGTGTTGGAAAAAGTAAACACCAAGCGCACCATAAAATGTGCACGGTGTATTAAAAATATAGGATAGTGCTCATTCTCATGGGGATGATATTGCCTGAATTGCATTCACAACTATTATATCGCCTTACCTAGGATAAATATTAGGTAAGCTCTGCTAACAAGAATGTGTCTCTTCTAAGATTAATAGGGGGCTTAAAATTTCGCAAACATTTACCAACGCTTCGGGGTATGGATTAAAATGACCGTCTTAAGCTGGTGGCAGGGTCTTGTCCCAACGTTGACGGGTCTGATACTGTTTGACCAACCGCTGAAAGAAT